ATTACAATCATGCCTCAAAACAGCAATCATGCCTCAAAACAGCAATCATGCCTCAAAACAGCAATCATGCCTCAAAACAAACACCCAACATCTCAGGAGATTATATCAACATTATTTTTCTCCTTCATGGGTCTACAGGGGGAACTGGGTGTAGCTGGGCTGGGTGGGCTTGCCTGTGATTGGCTGACCGGAGTTGGACTTTAGTTTGTAAGTTGGGTTCGGCCAGTTCCATGGGTCTCTTCATTCTGGGACCAGGAGCTACAGGACAGGTGCTTCATTTCGGCCTCCCCCTCCCCACCTCCTTCTCTCTCTCCTCCCCCTTTTCTGGTTCCCATCAGCTCTCCCTTCTCCTCCTCCCACCTCTTCCTCTAACTTCCCAGATGAGAATCCTCAGGCCTCCCCTCCCCTAGTGGCCATAGCACATCCCTGCACCCCGTGCTCCTGGGAAGGGAGCCCACCTCTCCCTCCACCAGGTTTCCACATCTTTGATTAATAAAATCTCAAACCTTTTTATTTCTCTGTGACCCACAATATAAAATGCATTTCATATTGTAGCTCAGGACACACACAATTATATATACTGCATGCTCTCAAAGTTCCATTCGTGTGTATTGAAGTTTGATCTCTACGTAATATATTGATTTCCTGCACCATCAATGGCCCAGGACCTGCAGGTGGAGAACTGTTCCATGATGGTTGTCTTATGGCAGAAACATTAGGCCCCACCTCCTGTGGGCTCTGCTTTTGTTGTCCACAGACGGGACTTGGGCCCTCAAACATTTACCTTCCTGTTATAGGATTTGACATGGATTGTTAAATAATTTTGGAAGAGAAAAATGTACTTCTCTTCATGTTCATGTTGAAGAACCTTTCACTGGGCATGAGGCAGCGCAGAGAGTTTTCTGAGGCAGAAGGTTAAATACTTGGGATAAGGGTTCTTGCCCCCCCCTCCCCATCTCTGTATCAGTCCACACCACACACCCATGGCAGCCCCTGTACAGCTGCACGTTGGTTCCCTAGGCCTGTCTGGTGCACAAAGTGCCACCAACTGGGCGGCTTCAGCCCCAGAGCATTGTCTTCTCAGCTTCAGCTCCAGATCCCCACAGGGTGGTCCAGGATCTGACCTAGTGTTGGGGTTCCTGGCAATCTAGGCTTTTCCTGGTTTGTCTCTGCCTTCATTCTCATGTGGTTCTCCGGTGTCCCATGAAGAAGCTGGGTCAGCCCTGATTTCTTGCTAAATGCAGCCGATGACGGGAATGCCACTAGGTCAGTGGTTCCCAACCTTGGCTGCACATTAGAATCACCTGGGAATCTTTTTAAAATCCTGATTTCTGGGCCTCATCCTCCGGAAATTCTGTTTCTTTGTTAGTTTCCTTGTTATGGGGTGAGGCCACAACATTAGTAACAAAGAAACAGAATTTCCGGAGGATGAAGCCCCAAAATCAGGATTTTAAAAACATTCCCAGGTGATTCTAATGTGCAGCCAAGGTTGAGAACCACTAACCTAGGTGATCAGTGAGAAGGTCCTCTCTTGATTTAACTCAGCTGTGATACCATCACCCCAGGAAAGCCTCATTACTGCGCTATTTTACTGCATATTTTAATTACACATGCGTTAGGGAGAGAGAGGCAACTGACATTGATGAGGGTGGTAGGTATGGGAGAACGGGCTTGAGGTTCTGAAGGCCTCAGCCCTCCAACCACCACCCTGGGGTGACCTGTCAGATTGTGTTATTGGCTTAAACAATAGAGATTTTCTCAGTTAATAAAAAGTCCTGAGGTTAGGAGGCAGCAGCACTCTGCAGCCCTCCTCCTAGTGGTCTTTCCTGTTCTAGAGACTCAGGGAAACAAACTTATTGGGCGACATGTCCCAATCCTATGAAATTCAAGTGGAACCCATACATGAGGGTTTACTAGAAGAGCCAACCCTTCCATCTAAGATTGTGCTACAGGAGGGGCCATGGAGGAGACCCCGGGGTCCACACAGCCAAAGTATTAACACCCGGCCCTTGACAGAGAAAACATTTCTAGATTGCAGGCCAATTCTACTCCTGACTAATTTCTAGGTAGAAGACAAATAAATTGCTTCAGCATGAAAAATGCACTGTTACTAGCCTTTTGAGATTATCTGGCCTTTTATTTCCTTTTTCTCTTTTCAGAGGCAATGGTGTGTGTGTGTGTGTGTGTGTGTGTGTGTGTGTGTGTGTGTGTGACTGGGTTTGGGGGCAGACATGTGTTGAGGTGAACATAAGTACCCTCTTCCCAAAGCCAAAGAATTTCATTCAAGTTGCTAGACTTGTGGGGGGCAGGGAAGATATTGGGGGACACCAGGAGGGGCCGTGGGGTAAAGAACAGAGCCAGACAGCAGTTGTTATGGACACTTGTGAGTCATTCAGAAAACACTCAGTGAGAGTCCTTGGGAGACTGAGTGACAGGCCAAAGCCCTTTCTCTCTCTCAGGAGGCAACAGGACCATGGCAGCCAGCACAGGCTCTCGCCTGCCAGTGGATGGTCTGGTGGGCCCAGCACCCCCATACCCACCCAAAGCTCCTTCCTGGGCCCACAGACCCCAATTGGGCCACTAGGTATATTTCTTCTAGAATAACCTTCCCAAGGCACATTTCATACCATTCCCCACCAGACCCTAAATGCTTTCCCTGGAACCTCCACTACCTTCTAATTTTGACACAGCAGTCAGCACACGAGCAACAGTTCCACTAGCAGTGACTCCAGGACTGGATTCTGGTTCCCATTCCATTCCCTTCACCTGAATTGTTCCCTCACATCTGCCTCCTGGGAAAACAACTCCGGATGCTCCCAGCCTGGAGTGTTCCCAGCTTCTTCTGACAGCCAGCAAGGAATGGCAACCTGGGTCCCACCACTGCAGGAAACTCCATTCTGCCAACAACCAGAATTCGCAAGAAACAGACTGTTCCCTGGACCCTCCAGAAAGAAGCCAGCCTGCAGACACCTGGATGTCAGTCGGCCAGAGCCACGCTGGGCTTCTCACCTACAGACATGTGCAGTAAGGAATCTGTGTTGCATTAGGTCATGAAATTTGTGGTTTTTATTAGCAGCTTACAAAGCTAATACAATAAGGATTTTGTGAAAATGTGGTTGGTAAACTGTGGGGGTGAAAATCTAGGAGAAGTTCAGTTGAGGAATGAAGAATATAAACCAATTTATTTAACAAATGTAACCTGACAACCACCTGCTGGGTGGAGGACACACAGTGGTGAACAATCACAGTGATGGTGATGGAGTGGCTTTTCCCCAGGACCCAGCAGTTACAGGAACCTCCGGGAATATCAGTGCATGCTCAGCGTGGAGTGTCCCTTTCCTGGAGATGGGGCCACAAATGTCCTTTCCTGGAGATGGGGCCACAATGTGATAAAACTTCCACTGCAGTTCACCTGACTCCCTTCCCCCAAATTCATGCCTCACAATGAGCTTTAGGGATGAAGCTGGAGGGTTGGTTCAGCTTCATGATCACAGGTCTCAAGCTGGTTAAGAATTTGGCCTCTAGTCCCTTCTCAGCCCCGGGTGAGGTGGTCACTGTGAATTCGTTCTGTGGACAACGTCATCATGGACAGCCAGCCAATGGAGCAGCGGACCATGGCTGACAGTCCATCTTGAAGGAACCAGGTGGGGTGTGGCCTTCATAGTCACCTACAGTGACCTTCTCCCTGGGGCCCTGGGAAGGAACCTCAGGCTGCCCATGACCCTGCCCAACAGGAACAACTGGCTGCAAAGGAACAGACTGGAGGTGGAGGGAGGGTCAGAGGTCAAACACCTCCAGCAGCACTACTTTCTGCATGAAATACACTTCCCTGGGTCCTGCCTCCCTTTCCACACTTTCAATGAGGCCCCCTCACAGGGGTGTGGTGAGGATTGGTGAGTGAGATTCACCTGAAGCATTTAGCCCAGCACCCTCCACATTCTACGTTATCTGTGACTGTGAGCTATGGTTGCAGGAAGGAAGCTGAGCAAACTTTTCACCTTTGGAAAGTTATCTTCCTGCACCCTGGTCTCCTCATTAGTCATGTGGAAAAGTTGAAAGATAACTAGTAAAGTGCTTCACTCAGTGAGTTTTTAGTAAGTATGTTCCTGATGTAAATATGTTCCTGCTGTGAGGTTTGGCTGTTAAGCAGGCCCTCAGCTCAGGGCTGGGCAGGGGGAAGCAAAGACTTTACTTCCGCCTGAGGGTCTTCAATGCTGTTAGCTGAGCCTGAGGCCACTGGGGTCTCCAGGGAAGGGTCAGGCAGTGGGTCAGGCAGAAGGGAATTCCTCATTCCTTTTAGTGCTGGGCAAATGGTCAAGGCAGTGGGCTCCTGTGACCAAATCCTGAAAAGAGGCAAGAGAGGCCCAGAGAAGGAAGCCTGTGGGAAGGTGAAGATGTGCAGTCCATAGATGGCATCATAGAACGAAACCTCCCGCATCTCATAGTCCAGGAAAACCCCCACTCTTTTAGGAGGTTTGACAATAGTGAGTTTGCTCCAAGGGTCCGTTCGAGCATGGAAGGCATGCCCACCCAACAGTGCTATTGTCCAGAATCCATTCTGGGGTGTTATTTTAACATCACGTTTTCTCTCCACGTTCTCCCTACACACCCCTAAATTCCACTGTTTCCTGTCCCCCACCTCCACCTCCCAGAAGTGTCTGCCTGAAGTGAAGCACTCACGGCCCAGCACACAGAAACGATATTGAAATCTCCTGGGGTTGTCTGGCAGGCTCTGCCTTTGTTTTATCCTCTTCAGACTCCTCTGATCCTTAGAAATAAGGAGGTTGGGGTGCGCAGTGTCGGGATCCAGAATCACGTCCGCTGCAGAGAGTTCCAATGGTGTGAGGTCAGCTATGGTTTCTGGATCTGAGAGCCTCAGGCTCCAAGGCTTGGGTCTGGCTGATGAGACAGGAGCCCAGAGCCTGGGGTCCCAGCTGCCCTGAGTGTGACCCTCAGCAAAGCCAAGAGACACCACTGGGCCTGGTGGTCAGTGAGGAAGGGAGGGTGAGGAGGGCTGGGCTCTGCCTAACCCGCCATCTCAAGTGGCCACCTTCCTTCTATCTTCCTCCTGTTTCTTCCCCAGAATGACTGTGCCCACCTGTGCTGCAGAGTCACATGGATTCCAATTCCAGCCATTGCTCTGCTCTCCTGAGCTGGACAACTTCCTTTTCTGCACGGTCTCTTCTCTCTCTCGCTCGCTCTCTCTCTCTCTCTCTTTCTCTCTCTCTCTCTCTCTCTCTCTCTCTCTCTCTCTCACACACACACACACACACACACGCTATGTAATGTCCCAAGTCTCAATGTGATATCTGTAAAATGGGAATAAAAATACTCATCTCCAGGTATAAAACAGAATGTGTTCTGTATGTAGCCCAAGGCCAGGCATGGAGGAAGCATATGGTGTGGTCACAGGGACCAGGTCCCTGCTGTGCTGGGGCCATGCTGGGCTCTATGTGATCCTCACTCCCCACCTGCCCCTCCCTCTCCTGCCCAGGAATCCGTCCTCCTTGGGCAGCATCACTGGGCTCTCTTGCCTCTGGTCACCTGCAGGGTTTGGCCAAGGGCAGTGCTGGCTGAAGACTGGAGGGAAGGAAAGAGAGGCACAGCCCCGACTTCCCCACGTCCTGTGATGGAGACGCTCTAACAGAGCAGCCTCCTCTCAGGCAGCCTCTCCCTGAGCCACAGCCTCCTCAGGGCTCCAGTCACTGCTCCCCGTCCCTCTGCCCTGGGCCTGGGGGTGGTGGCAGCTCCCACTGCTGTGAGCCTGGGGCACTGCTCTTCCTTGTGGTTTCCCTTAATGCCATCCCTGCCTCTGGAGGTAGGTCCTTCCCTAAACCCTCTGTAATCACTGGGCAGATGTGGCTGAATCAAACCAACTCCACCTCTCTGTCTCGGATTTCCTTCATCTTTTCATGCTGTGACCTTTGCCCAACCTCCCTGTCCTTAGCAGGCACACCAAAGCCTTCAGGGTGATGATGATGTGTGGTCCTTAAAATGTAGCCATAAACAGTTCTGTTAGTAACACTAGAACGACATGACAAGGAGGTCAACACCTAATGTGATGGTATCGATTATAAAGAACCTTCCACCACAAGACCCCCAGGAGGTATGGCTGATGCTACCACACTGTTTGTCTCTTTGTCCTGTCAACCATTAGTACCAGAGTTGTGTGTTTAAAAAAGTACTGTAACCGTCTGTGCAGACTGACACTTATTCTGTCTGCTCCAACCCCACATCCCTGTGAGGAAATGACTCTATAATACAGTCTGTTATAATCTAAGGAGTCGCCTACATCACTTTTAAGTCTTAAGAACCTTCTCCTGACTGTGGTCATCACCATCAGACACACACCCATTGTGAACAGGCCATGGCTTCCCTCTTGGAGTTTTGACCAACACACACTCATCACTTCCTCTAGTCTTACCTCCACCCTCACATAGTAGGAATTGCCACCATCATCGAAAAGGAAGCCCAAATATGGCACACTTGAGGAGGCTCAGGGCAGGAGGGACAGCAGCTGGGCCAGGTCACCTCCTGCCTCTCCCTCCAGCCCCTGCCCCCAGCTGTACCCCTCATGCCTCCTCCTTCCCACACAAACCTGGGGAAGCCCAGGGCAGCAGCTGTCCCTGGCTCTGTTGGCAGCAGATGGGCACACTGTACGAACCTCAGGTTACCCACACAGATGTCCAACAGTCAACAGCAGAGAAGAAAAAGGGAGCCAGGATCCTCTGTTGCTGTCCCAGGGAACACAGTGATTCACTCACCAGGTTGGTAAAGGGCCATTGAGGAAAGGTCAACACCTCTGCTCTCCGCCCTCCCATTCTCCTCACTGAGCCTCTTCTCTCTCCTTCCCACCAATATCTAGTTTTCTTCCTCCACAGCTCTGAGGAGGAGGCATAAAAGCTCTCAGAATGTTGGGCTTCCCTCCATCACGGTGGGGCTGTGGGTGACGGGGTCAGGCTGTGCCCGGGTGTGGACGAGTCACTCACCAGCATAGGCCTGAGACTTATGATCCACAGAGGAAGAAGGCAGAGTCACCTCCACTGTCATTTCTGAGTCCTTTCCTCTCTCTCCCTTTTGACCCCCCACCTCTCGCTCCATCTGCCTGTTCAGTTCCCTGCTCCCTCCTCCTCTTTAAAGTCACCTGCACCTAGTGACCTGCAGGCACCGAGTGGGGCTTTCCCAGCTGCACCTGCAGGTCTGTCCTGTACGTGTCTGTACAGCAGTCACCTTTAACCATCGTTTCACTTTCTGAAGTTTCAGTTACCCTCTGTCACCCACAGTTGGAAAAGATTAAATGGAAAATTCCAGAAATAAGCAATTCATAAGTTTTAAATTGCACATCATTCTGAGCAGTGTGATGACACCTGTGCCATCCGTCTCTCACATGCCAACCTGAGAACCATCCCTGTGCCCAGCATGTCCACCCTGTGTTCCTCTCATAAGCCACTTAGTCACTGAGGAGCCAGCTCTATGGTCAGATCTGCCTCAGCATCACAGGGCTTGTGTGAAAGTCCCCTCATGTTACTTAATAATGACCCATCATTGCAATGACCCATTGGGGTGTGGCAATGAGAAGCCTTCCTTTAAGTGAGAAGGAGAAACCTACTATACACAGGGTGTGGTGCTATCCATGGGCCAGGCACCCACTGGGTCTTGGATCCCATGCTCCTGGCATACAAAGTGACTGTCTTACTCCTGTACCTGGCATAGCATAGGAAGTGACTGTCTTACTCCTGTACTTTGCATAAGCTTGCTGTGTGCATATGTTTATGCATATGTGTGCTGAAATCCATCCATCTCAATCTGCATGATATCCTGCCTATTTCCAAAAAGAATTGGGCGACTTATTGAGAAAATTTCAGGCACTACTTTTCAGCAGTTATGATAAATCTGGGACAGCTGACACCAGCCCCTCCTCCTTAGAAGGGAATGTTCTTTCTCCTTCTGGTTTCCTCTCCGCAGCCTATAGATTCTGTACAGGAGCTAGGGAGGGAGGACTCACATCATGAGTCCATCTCCCCTCTCCTTTCTGGGGTTCCCTGGACATTCGGGTGCGAGCAGCCTGGTGGAGAGAGCCTGACCCCTCTCTCCAGGGAGGAAACCCTGCTGACCTCCCCCATCAGCGTCCTCATTCCTTCCCCTGGGCGGTCAGGGGTGAGGAAGGGGCTGGACAGGTCCCAGCAGAGAGTCTCAGAGGCAGGTCCAGGTCTAGGTACTCACGCGCCAGGTACTCCTGCTTCATCCTTCCTGCAGGGGAAACGGGAGGGGTCGGTGAGGGGGTAACCAGGGACCCCAGAACCCGCGAGGAGGGGGGTTGGGGGCCGGGACTTACTGAGTTCCTCCTGCAGCTTCTCTGGAAATAAGCAGAAAGAGAAGGTGCTGTCATGGGGATGGAAGGGGGGACCTGCGCAGTGGGTGGGAGGCCTGGGGCACGGAGGTCCCACCCCCCTGCAGCCAGGCCTCACCTTTGGCGATTCGCTCCCACTGGCTCAAGGCCCGGATTCTCTCCTGCTGTCGACACCAATAGATCACCGCCCCGACCAGGATCCCCAGCAGAGACACAAGGGTCACCCCGAAGGCCGCCCGCCAGGGTTTCGGGCTGGAGAAGAAGGGGCCTGCGGAGGGAAAGCCTCAGCTGCTCGTTGGAAGGGGCGCGGGGTCTCCAGGAGGGGAAGCGACATTGCTCTTCCCAAAATGCCCAGAACTCTCCCGTCACACAGACTAGTGTCCTAATGTCTGGCTCTCACATGGGAACAGTTAGAACATAATGTACATACAGTCATTGGTGTCTCCTCTCCACGCCCTCCCCCGTGTATCAGCGTCTCATCAGCTGCTTAACCTGCTGACTCAGAAGGTGACCTTTGGGGCTGGAGGGCTGGGGTCACATTCAGGGTCTTCTTCCTGGGCAGCTCTGTGACCTTGAACCAGTGACGTAGCCCTTCTGTCCTCAGTGTCCTCATCGGCAGAGCATGAAGTTAATGCTCTAAAGTCCCTGACACGACGTCAGTGCCATGCGAGAGTTTATTCAT